GGGACAGGCATCGACATGAGGAGGACCTTTAATTATTCTCAAACAAAACCTGTACACAGATGGTAAAGATACAAACTTTCCCATAGAAATAATATTTAACTGTGCACAAATTTAGGATATCATTATTATATATCATTATCATTAATTAAATTAAATCATAAATCAAGAATTTTATCCCAGCTTCAGACAGTTTGCCGACTGGCTGCATGGCTGGATGCATACGAGCATCATTCTGTCTTTCCTGGACAGATGATAACGCTCATCTTTTTTTATGTCTCGCTGCTTTTTCTCCATATTCTTAATCTGCTAATAACTAATCAACACCAAACAGGAAGAGGACTCTAATAGAGAGCTGCTTTTATTTGTCAAAACATGCAGAAGCACCAGAAGTTACTCAAGGGGACTTAAACTGGGAGGGGCTTAAATCTGAAGTTTTGCGTTTTTCTGTGAACTAGAGATGACACGGGAACGGCTCTTCACTCCGGTCCCACTCCCACAAAATAATCCTGTACTGTCCCACTCCCAGCAGAATGACTCCCGCTCCTGCTCAGGTTTTTTTATTACTTCATGTTCTCCATTAGGCCAGTTTACAGTTTACAGTTTGCATGTTCAACCAGCAAACAGACACCACAGCTGATAATTTAAAATATAAAGCTTACAAAATGTTTGTAAAAACATGGCCACTTGTACAGCAGCCTCTTCACCTGTTGAGATTTACATCAGCAGGTAAAGAAGCTTTAAAGAGTGATTAGATGCACCTGTGGAGTGAACCAATCAGAGGGACTCACCGTGCATTTCTCCAAGATGGACCGAAAGTGTCACTTTTCTATCTCTGCATCATCACTCCAGTATCTCACTTAACTCCTGCATCTACTGGATTCACCCTTAATCTGCACACTTCTCTGGCCTCCCTCCTGCAAACTTACCTGCCTTGCTCCTGCTCCTCCTCTTCACACTCCTGACAAACAGAATCTTTCACAATTCAAGTATAGTAAGTCTGCACCTCCTCCGTGCCTGATCAGCATTTGAGTTCTCATAACGAGCTCTGTCTAACAGATGAAAGCTTTGTGAATACGGCTCCAATTTGGTACAATCTGAATCTTTTCTGAACTTTAACTGCAGCACATAAAGAGCTGTGAGCTGCTGAAGCTGTTCTCTGTGTGCTGGGGTGACACTGCCCTCTAGTGGGCTCCTACAGTCATTACACTGCAGTGTGTTTAATCTGGATTATGTAAATGAGCAGTTTGTTATTCTGCTTCTGTTCACAGAGACAACATGCTTCATCCCTGAAAGTAAACAAACAACATTTCTTTACTTACATTTTAACATTTTAATTTAATTTATTATTCTCTGGTCTACCTCTCAAGCTTCTCCATAAACTCCAGCTGGTCCAGAACTCAGCTGCCCGGATCATCACTAAATTTAAATCATTTAAATCAATTTAAATTTTTATTTTAACTTTAATTTAAAATTCTCCTTCTCACTTTCAAGACTCTCGCTCCTCCGTACCTTTCTGATCTTCACACCTTCACGCCCTCTCGGACCCGGACCCTCCGTTCTGCCTCTTCCATGCTCCTCAGCACACCTCCTGCCCGCCTCTCATCAATGGGGTCTTGAACTCTATCCCAATAACCATCCATGACATCAACTTTCTTCCCACCTTTAAATCTCAAACACCTTTTTTTAGATTTGCTTATTCTGTCTGACCACGCCCACGTCTCACTATTGTTTTGTCGTTTCTGTTGTTCATGTAGTTGATTGCGTTCTTGTTTTCACTGCTGTGTCAGGTGACCTCAAGTGATGTGAAAGGCACCGTAAATAAAATACATTATTATTATTATTATTATTATTATATACCAAGTTGTTTCTTTTTACTGATATTTATTTTTCATATTCTACATGTAAGATAAAGTGTCTGTGTAAAGGTTATTATACAGGAAGTGACACGTACGAGTCTGAAGTCTGGTGAGAATCAATCCAACTTCAACAACTTCAGCCCTGCTCAAAACTACCAAACATTCAATCATTTTTAGGAATTTAACCCTTTAAATGCCAGTTTGATTACATGATTCTGGCATTTAAAGGGTTCAATTCCTGATAATTATTCAATATTTGATCGTTTTGAGCCAGGCTGGAGTTGTTTAAAAGATTTATGCAGAAAATAGTAGAAAGAAATACCAATCTGTTCTATTTTTATAGCAGTTTTTTTAATTGGACATTTTTGTCCTTAGTGACTCTGAAAAGAACGATTGTGGATCTTGTAGAGTCAGATTCAATGTTCACGTCATTGATTTTTCTTTCAGCTGCAGGTGTTAGATACTTCTGCTCTTCTCCCACTAATGTCATCAACATCATCATCAAATCAACTTTTTCATTCCTTTTTCGTTCCTCCTCCTCATTGGCTGAAACGTGTGCATGCACTCGACTTGATGTCACTAAACCAATACCGAGAACAAAGCAAACATTTGAAACATTCATTTTTAAATCCCAACATGTTAAACTTGAGTTTAAAAGTTAAGACCCTCACTCATCAGTCTGTCAAAGTTGATTTTGTGTTTCTTCTTCATGAGATGAACATTTTATAAGATGACGTAATAACCCTCGAGAGCAGAGTCAGGGTTTTTTTTTTTTTTTAGAAATGAGAGAGCTCACAGTTACATCTGCAGCTTTCCTATTTTTATCCTGTTTGTGGTTGCGTCAGAATGCAGTGAAGCTATGTGTGTGTGTGTGTGTGTGTGTGTGTGTGTGTGTGTGTGTGTGTGTGTGTGTGTGTGTGTAGGAGGTCGACCGCCCACACAGACGAGAGCTCATTCACAGACTCTTGTTGTTTCTGTCTGATTCACACTGCTGTTAACACACGGGTCACTTTCACTTGTTTGAGGAGCTGCAGGAAGAGGAGGACGAGAATGAAGACTCTGCAAACAACTTCAAATACAAAGAACGACAAAGAGAGCAGAAATATGTGCTACATCACATGTTGAAGGTACGGTTAACTGGGAAAGATATTTAAAACTTAAAGGTCACATACTCTCCTCCTCTTCTTCAGTTTAAATAAGTCTCAGAGCTCCTCAAAACATGTGTGTGAAGTTTCTTGTTTTAAATCCACTCTGATCCTGTATCTGATCATGCCTCTTTAATTTGATTTTGATCATCAAAAGATCGACTCCTTCTTAAAGTCCTGAACTCTGTAAATCTGCTTTTTATTCTGATGCCTTTAAAGGGGACATATTATGAAAAATCCACTTTTAGTGTTTGTGAACATTTATCTGGTAACCTGAGAGTCTACTGACCCACAACATGTGAAATAAACCATCCAGTCCTTTGTTTGTGGTCTGCATAAGTCTTACAACACAGAGAAAAATGCTCTGTTTCTAATGTGCTCTCCTTGTGATGTCACAGTGGGATTCTGATGAAAACAAAATCCCCTCCTCTCCCCTGGTATCTCCACCCATGGACTCCACCCCCAGCCTAGAACAGAACTTTTACACAGGTCGGCCATTTTTATTCTCTCTACAGAGGAGTGATGTCTACTGGGAAAACTTGGGGGGGGTCATTACATTTAAAGAGACACACACCAAAACGGAGCGTTGTGAGAGAGCTGGTTTATACAGGGTCACAAACCTCCTCTGGTGCTTGATTCATGTTATATTTTGACCAAAGCACAGCACAGATGTTTCATTTAGACCACAGGGGGACTGTTTGAAAAGGTGGAGGAGGGGACTGTTTGAAAAGGTGGAGGAGGGGACTGTTTGAAAAGGTGGAGGAGGGGACTGTTTGAAAAGGTGGAGGAGGGGACTGTTTGAAAAGGTGGAGGAGGGGGATGATATGTTCCCTTTAAACTCATGAAGCTTCCTCCAGCAGTCTTTAAAGATCGGAGTCCTTCCCTCTCTTTTTTTTGCAGTTTAGGATTTTGATTTGTAGCCACTTTGTTTCTGTTGTAAGTGTTTCAGCTGATTTATATTAAGTGTTTGTTGTTGTTTTTTTGCTTGTAACCTCGACAGTGTTGGAAAATCAGCCCCCATCCTCCGCCACATGCAAGTGAATTTACTCAACTTACCGGCCAAGGTGGCAGGTAAATAAAAAGTAAAGTGACAGAGGGAGTTCAGGAAACAATTTAAATTGAATCCTGCAAAAAAAATAAGTGACTGGCTTTGAATTCTTGAATCGGCAGGTCGGTGAAAAAGCTCATTTCCAACTCTGCTCGATGGCGTTAGAAAAGAGGGAAACGTTGAAGGCCTTTAGAGAATAATAAATAAATGTTTGAATGAATCAAACCGTGAGATCAGTGAAGATGCATAGCTCCACTAAATACAAAGTCCAGTTTAACACTTAATAAAAAAAGTTTACTACTTTTAAACTCTTCATTAATGGAATCAAAGTTGTAGATAGTTGAAATGAAACATCTCACTCTGGATATCTGTGAGCTCTTATTCTGAAAACTTTTATGGATATTTTTTATCTCATCGTGGAGGGTTGTTGTGTTTGAACGGGTTATCTCGACCTGCTGTCAGAGACCAAACATCCAAACAAGGACCATAAACATGATGTCAGCTCCATCTGCTGCAGGCTGTGACGGATGACGACACACACACACACACACACACACTCAGTAACCAAGCTGTGACAGCAGAGGGAGCCGCCATAAACAATGTGTGTGTGTGTGTGTGTGTGTGTGTGTGTGTGTGTGTGTGTGTGTGTGAGAGAGCAGGACCTTGACTGAGTCCACCAGAGAAAAACATGTTTTTCACCGCTGGTGTCGTGCCTGCTGTGATCTGCCGGGGTGGAGGGGGGGGGGTATTTATAGGCCGATAATAACGAGCATGTGTCCTTCAAGACCACGCTGCCCCCCCCCCCAGAGGAAGCATGAGCGGCACACACATCAGCATTAATGTAGGACCAGAAAAACTCCTGACAAAACAAGTGAGAGAAGTTTCTAGAAAAGAGTTTCAGCTTCAGTCGTCAGGTCGACGAGGAGGAGGAAGAAAAAACTCTACAGAGGATTCTGGAAAAACAAAAGTTTATTAAGACAACAACAAAAAAAAAAAAAGAGCCTGAAAAACTCAGGAACATTATCAAGAGACTTCGGTACGAAGCAAGTCATGGTGGTTTTTTTCTTTTACACCAGAAGAAAACAAATAGAAAAACAAACACAGACTGAACTCCTCAACAGGAATTCCAAAAAGGTGAAAGCACCACAAGTGTTGTCATGTGAGAGCCCGACCTTTAACCCCCCGCCCCCCCCCTCCCTCTTTAAGCAGTACAAACAAAGTGTTACACATCACCCAGAAGCCCTGTGGGAAAAAGGGCGTGCTGCTGTCTCTGCTTCTCCTCCTTCACATGTTTGAGAATCCATGTTTCCCTTTTCAAACAGAAACCTTCACGAGACGTGGAGCTGCCAGGAAGTCGACTCAGACCGAAACATCAAATAAACCTGCGTGACTGACTCTCATGTGTCTGCTCTGTGAGGAGGACAACCCTCTTTGAAATGAGGGGGGGGGGACGTCCCCTTCTCCCCCCATACAGCATTAGATTGTAAACAAAATGGAGCTACTACCTCCCCCCCCATCTTAATGGTCTGCAAAAGCAGGGAATGGTTAGCAATGAGCAAACCTCCCCCCCCCCCCCAGGACACAAACAAATCCCAGGATGCAGTGGTAAATAAGAAATGAATAAGCCGACACTTCCTGTTCACTGTGACTGCATTAGAAAAGAAAAGACCCCCCCCCCATTGTTCAGGACTCACTGAATCACAACCCAGAAATAAAATAAGAAGTATCCATGTGGGGTTTGTATTCACATTTTTTACACCGAAGGATGTTTTTCTTCTTCTTCTTCTTCTTCCCTTTTTGAAGAAACAAAGCTCGGCTCAGACCTCCACGTCAGACATTCAAACATAAACAACACGTCTCATTGGCCGACACGTCGCGTAACAAACGTTACCGACTGATCGATGAAAATTAGAAAACATAGCTACCAGTCCTGTGACATTTTGTAAATCTAGAGAGTCATGTTGCAGAGTCCCATGTTCCGTGTCCGGTCCAAGAGGGTCAGACACACGGCGGAGACCCGGTCCTTGTTGCCCCCCCTCCCCCCGGGCTCGGCCGTTACGTTATCAGCTCGGCACGTTGCTGTCCCCGGTCGCTTTGGGGAAACCTCCACAGTCCGCGTCGGAGAACTGCAGCCTCCTCACGGCCTCTTTGATCAGGTTCCCGGATAGAATCAGCTCCTGCAGGAGCCGGTGCGGGTCGTCGTCCTCCTCCACGGTGATCCGCTTCCTGTTCCACGGTTGATTTGGTCCCAGTCCTGCTCGCCGTTAGATCCGGGGACGTTGTACGGGCTGGCCCTGCTGCTGCCCCGGTGTCCCCTGCCGCTCCTCAGCCGCATGCAGCAGCCGCTCCGCTTCTGCACCGGAGCTCCCGCCGTGATGGCCGCCGGTTTGACCCCGGTGCTGCCGTGCAGACACGACATGGACACGGACACGGTCTTCTGGTGGCTGCCGCTGTTGTTGTGGAGCTGCAGCGCTTCGCCGATTTTCGTCACCAGCGCGTCCACCTCCTTCGAGTCGACGGTGACGGACTGCTCCAGAAAGATGTAGTTCTCCTTCCGACACGGCATGATGGCGGACAGTCTGTCGGCTTTGAATTCTTCTCCGGTGTTTTGTTGCTGTCGGTGTGAATGAGAGCCGCCGGGCTGCTGCTTGCTCTCACCACGCCGCTCGGCTGTATCCAACAAGCCGAGTTGATTTGTAAACAATGGATGACGCGTCGCGGACCGTACCAACTCCTCCGCGACGGGGAGGGGTGTTTTTCAAACCAAAATAAATCACACGTTCAAACAGAATCCGCGGAATCACCCAGGAGACTAATCTGTTAAACATAAATGATTGTAAACACGATCCTGAAACGACATAAGTTTAAATAAAACGCGTTTGTACCGTTAGTGCAGGTGATTCTGTTTCCCGCCTCAACCCGCTCGTTTGGACCGCTCCCTTCAAATGGACATTACATAACTCGTAACTGTCTGCTGCTGTCCGTCCAGGCAAAACAAACAAAGCACGTTTTTCTTTTTTGAAAAAAACGACTCCATGAAACCTCGGGTGGATTTAATTCATTTTCAAACTGCACCCACTGACACTCATGTGTGAATGCTTTATTAATGGAGATATCATGATAAACAAACAAATACACGTGCCTGCATAATAATCACCTTCCAGATCAAATCATCCGTGATGCAACACATTCTGTGACCCCCCCTTTGATTCTGCAACCCAGTTAAGAAACTCAGCTCCACTGCCAATTCAGATACACGTTTCACACCCTGATTGATTTGATCATTTGGAAAGAACATCCAAGCCAAGGAGTGTGTCTCCACAGGATTGAGACAGTGTAAACTAGTGTGTGCACAGACAGGCAAAATGCAAAGTTGCAACACTAACTGCAGGGGAAAAGGAAAAAGGAGCAATTTTATTTGACCATTTCGATTTAAGAGGAGGACCGAGGAGGATCTTGCAGATCAGAGGTCACCCGGTGAAATAAAGTCGTCTGTTATAAGCTGAACCTGTGTGCAGACCTTTCTCCTTTTAGCTGCTAAACTAACAAAATGAAAGCAAATAAATGGAAAAGTTTCCCATATTTTGATGCATGCAGAGCAGAATCTGTAGGCCTACATGAGTTTCTAAAGTATCTACATGTTACATTTCATTATGAGGCCATGTTATTTATGGCATTGTATGCAGCTACAGAACATATTGTTCTGCATCTTTCTTTCCTTGTTCTTATAGCTCCATGCTCATATCTTCTATGTTTATAGGCCTCAGCTTGTAACCCGTGTAGGAGCAATTGTGACACCCAAATTCCCCCCGGGAGGAATAAATAACTTAAGTATTTCTGAACACCACGAGCAGCACGTTAGGTAACAGCTGTTATAAATAAAGTTTGTGAAAAAGGATGATAAAACATTTTCAGTGTGAACGTATAACTCAGAGTCTCCTTATCTGATCTCCTGTAATCTCTGCATATGATGAAGTATATTCACATATCTGGGAAAAACACTAAAAGTAGTCTTTAATGTTGGACTAACTCAGCATAAATACGTTTGAATATTTGTGTGTGATGGCATCCAGCATGTGCACGGTGACAATAGGGAGCGCAGACGGGGTGTGTAACCGTGTGGGAGAACATGGTGTTCATTTCTGTTTCTGAGAAAACAGCAGCCGCTAAACCTGATGCTCCGGTCAAAGAGAGAGCCCTCGCGACCATATAAGGAGCTACTATGACTGCCAACACGTGGTATGTGAGCCAATCAGAGGCCGCCGGCTGAGGTTTCCTGTGTGTCTCAAAGGCAGCCGTGCAGTCATACTGGAATCCAGGGAGGTTGTGGCAGTTAGGAGTGTTACCAAAATGTGAAAGCAAAGATAAACAGTCACGACTTCCTGAATCATGAAACAAACAGTGCTTTGATTACATCTCACCGCCGATGTGAGCAGGATGTGTCTGCATATGAGACACTGTTTCTGACTCCTTTCATGTGTTTACTACTGACACTCAACACAGTGCTATTTGTACCATTGGTACATTTATAAACATGATAATTCACACAGCAGGGGGGTCGGTTGGTTTCTATTTAATGTCATCTGTCCCGTAGTAAAAGGTGCTAAATTAAAACCTTAATAAAACAAAATGATTTAGTTCATGTCCCAAATCCTTTTTCACTAGGAGCCCCCCTCTTGTATCTAAGAAGAGCTGGGACCCCCGAGGACCCACTCAGAAAGAAATGATACGTAGAGGACAAAATTAAATTAAATTTGAAGTTTTCATTGATAAAATGTCTGCACACACAGACTCGTTCTTACCAAAAGAAATCATTATAAACGATCCAGGAAGTGTTTTATCAGCTCATCTCATTTTGACAACCTAGTGTTGTAGTTCTCCAGATCGGTCTGGAGACCCCTTTTTGAAGGTCTCGTCTGGGTGGAATCAAAAGCTTTTTTACTCGGTCTCAGACTTTGAATCAAGACCGGTCAAGACCACCACTGAAAGTCTTCTTTCTCATTTCATCACTTTGATTAGAAGGAAAACATTCTCTTTCTAAAAGATTAAAAACTTCAATTCATTTGTAGTTTGATTTTTTTATCCCCTGATTACGGCCACATCCATTCCCGGTGTTGCGGTCTAAGTGAGCGACACGCTGCACACAAGATGAGGATTCTTCTGTGATATTTATGGTTTTAGTCTTGACTCGGTCTCGTCCTGCCTTGGTCTTGGTTTTAGTCTTGTCTCGGTCTTGTCTCGGAGCACTCTGGTCTTGGGTATATCTTGGTCTCAGTCAGTTTGGTTTGGACGACAACACTATGACAACCTCAAAGCAGAAATAGCCCCGCGTCCCCCCTGAGATCTTTGACCCAGGACCCCAGGTAGGGAACCAAGGATTTAGATGACAGAAGTGTCACAGTATGAAGGCAGTTAGACAGTTTGAGCTGCGTCCTGTGTTTGCTCAACCTTTTTAGAGAATACAAACAGAGAAATGAATTTATGTAAACGACCAAAATATAAAAACCTGTAGATCAAAATTGACAAAAATATGTGGCACCTGTAAGCATAAAGTGTGTTTAGAGTGTGTCAGTTTGTACTTCTGTATGAAACAGCTGGGATGTCGCTCTCATCAACACAATGTTTAGCTGAGAGTAAAAGAGATCTTCTTATCTACTCTTTGAACGCCTCTTTTTCTGTTTTGAGTCGAGCGCTTTGTTGCGTCACTGAACAAAAGGAAAACACAAAACTCTGACCCTTACAGTTTTATCAAAACCTCAACCAGTCAATTTCTCAGAATGGAAAATCATAATCTTGACAGCTGCTGTACTGGACTGTATGTAAGTGTTCCCCTGTTAGTTAGTCCACACCCTGCATCCCACATTCCTGAAGATGAACCATATCAAGACTTTGTGTAAATAGACTGATAAAAAAAACCTCCTTCATGTTAACCTAACAGAAGAATAAACAGAGCTCTGGATTGAGTCATAGCTCTCGTCTTCCTCTTCCTGTCATGTTTTCTTTGTCTTTGTCACTGAGAAGTCGCTTCACAACACGAGGAAGTGAGCTGGCAGAAAACCGGGTCACATACTTCCTCCCTCTTTCATGTTTTCCTGTACTGTGAGTCAGCGGCGGTGGTTCAAATACAATTCCTGTTTGTTTGCAACAGCAGCAGCTGTTCTCACACATTCCCTGAACCCACCTCAACAACAGTGTGTGTGTGTGTGTGTGTGTGTGTGTGTGTGTGTGTGTGTGTGTGTGTGACATCATCCTCCTCCTTTGTTTGTGTATGTGCGAGCTGTAATCCTCAGTGTGTGTCACATAAACACAACATCAGTCAAACGAGAGAGAAGATTAATAAACTGCTCAAAATGAAAACACAGCCGGTTTGTTTGTCCATTAAAGGAGCAGCAACAGTTTTTAAAGATGGGGGAGAAAAATGAACCAGGAAGTGGAGTTCAAAGGCGTGTAAGGCTTATCTCTTGAGTCAGAGTCCATACAGCTACGTTAGCAGTTGAGAGCTAAATGCTAACATTAGCTAACAAACTGATGTTTAGTAACTGTTAGACCTACATGTATTTATTGTTCCTCGTCTTATTTTAGCATGTTTACATATTAACATGAACTCAGTGGAGGCTTTAGAAGAACGTTTCAGGGTGATCATATCGTCACTTTGACTTTACCACAAACCGACGTGTGTCCAGCCACGGATCAGTGACCTTCACTGGCCACACAAGGTGGCAGTCAAACAGCCCTCCTGAACAGCTCGTTTAGGTCGGTTATCAGCGGCGTTTATCTCATTGAAGTTGGTCGTAACAGTTCTACTTCCAGTCTCAACCCACCGTTTGTGTTCACTCGTTTTAATACAGCTTTCTGTGTCGACATTTCCGACGCGTGCGACTGAAACTAGACACTTACAGTTTGTGTAAAACGCAGCATACTCATTGGCTGGTCCTTATTCAAAGGAAGCTGTAACTCCCCTGTAGCTCTTTGGAAAACGACTTCCTGTTCAGGATGACAGCTCGCCTACCTGACCTTACGCAGACGGTCCTGTTAGCATCATAAGCTAGGTTAGCTTAGCAACAGCTGCAACCCTGAGATTCATTGACACGTGTACAGAAACATCGGTGTTGAACTTTGACTCGCGGTGCCTCAGTTTTATTTCTCTATTGGTTAAAACAGCAGCAGCCTCGGCAAAGACATTGATCGACATATTTACAGATGAATGTAGCAAGCGTGTGTGTGTTGTTTTGGTTCTTTAAAACCGTGACAGGGACCGGTTAAAAACCGTGACATATCAGTGTTTTATAGATATCTGTGGGGACTCTGGACAAAGAGCTTGAAAACGGGACGGTCCCGGTCAAATCAGGACTTATGGTGGTCATCCTAAAGTGAGAAGTGCATGAAGCCTCCGTACAAATGTGAAGCTAAAAACAGCCTCACCACAGGTGCGGACATTTTGGGAGCAAAGACCGAGCTGTCTGGTGGGAACCCAGGCATGAAGCCCCTCCCCTTAAGCTAACCAAAACACACATTTAACTTTAATCGGCAGATTCTGCGGGATCAGTGTGCGCTAACGACGGGGGTCAGTTTCTGAAGCGTGGGCACAGCGCAGCCGAGCAGAGCACCTGGATTCCTGGTTTCACAAGATCACAGGAGAACTGCGAGATCACGCGGGAATAAAGAGAAAAATATCCAAACAACATGTTGTTTTGTCTTT